ACCCGAACAGGCCTGTCGCCCCGCCGCCCCACGTGCACGACCACGACTACCCGGCCGCCTCCCCCTCATCGGTTGGCTCCTCTCAAAGCCATTCCCGGCGAACATCTGTCCGAGCCGCTCCGGAGGGTTACTGCGTCTCACGGCGTCCGAGCGGCATTACGAGCCTCCGCTGCCTCCCTAATGCTGCAGGGACTTAGAGCGGGATTAAAGCGCAATTATGTGCTTCCCCTGTACGGCCCAGCTGTGGGAGGAGAGTTTGTACTGAAGAAGATGTTTTGTGCAAAGTCACACAAACAGAATTTAAATTTTAACTCAGTTTCTTTCGAGCTGCGTGGTGCTGCCATCACAAGGTTAATAAAATGGTCAGTTTTCAGATTTCAGATGTAAAAAAACACGTCTCGCTTGTTGCTTGTTGATCTGCTATTTCAGGGTATTTTCACTGCATTTACTTTAAGGTTCTTATCTCGGTCTTATAATCACAAGCTGTATGTTGTTTTTTTGTTTTATTTTAAATGCTATCCAGATTTCATACATTAGCCTGTACATTTTAACAAAAGAAAAACCTTTCACATTATGAATTCATTATGTTTTTGCGCGCATCTCACCAAAAATGCTCCCTTTGGATGCTATTATTTGAGGAAATATATGCTAACTCAGAATTTCACTCACTAAATTTTCCAAAAACTATTATAATTTTGCTTTTTTCACCCCCAAAACAGTCAAAATCTTCCATCAATGTAAAAGATAAAACTCAATTTTTCATATTAGTCTTTGCACTTTGAGTAAAATACCATTTTGCATCATGAGTTTATTAAGTTTTTGCATTTATCTCACCCAAAATATGCTTCTTTCGGATGTCATCTTTTGAGGAAATGACTTATTTCATGAGCTAAAGTGTCCAAAAATTATTATTATTTTGATTTTTTCCCCCCAGAGCAGTCAAGATCTTCCACCATTTTATAGGATAAAACTACAGTTTTTAATATTTGTCTTTGCATTTCAAGTTAAATACCATTTTGCGTCATGAATTTATTACGTTTTTGCATGTCTCTCACCAGAAATGCTTCTTTCGGACGTTATCTTTTGAGGAAATACGTGCTAATTGGAAATAACATGAACTAAAGTGTCCAAAAATTATTATTATTTTGTTTTTTCCCCCCAGAACAGTCAAGATCTTCCACCATTTCATAGGATAAAACTATATTTTTTAATATTCGTCTTTGCATTTTGAGTTAAATTCCATTTTGCATAATAAGTTTATTAAGTTCTGCATGTGTCTCACCCTTAAATGTTGGCAGATATCTGTTCATTAACGTTCAGGGAAGTTTGTCTGGATTCTGGCAGCATCAGCACCACGACGGTGGGACACTGCATTATGTAGGAAATGAGGAAAAATATGTGCTAATTGGCAATAACTCGTTATTTTATTCACATACCTGCAGAGGTGGCAAAGCAGGAAAACATCTGCCCTTCTCACCCCTCCACTCTTTCTTGTGATATAATAACAAAACATTGTTTTGTTTTTTTCAGTCAAGATCTTCCGACGTTATGTTATAAAAATGCAAATTTTTATTATTAGGAAAACAACATTTCTCACATTTTTTGCGTGTATCTCACTATGAAATGCTGAACAGTTCAGATATCTGCTCACAAATGTTCAGGGGAGATTTTCTGGAATCTGCTATGACTTAGAAAATGGGGGGAAAATATGTGCTAATTGGAAATAACTCATTATTTTATTGGCAGAGGTGGCAAATATTTGCCCCTCTCAGCGCGCCGCTCTGTCTTGTGATGTGATATCAACACATCATTGAGCCACACAGACGTATCTAGATATTCGCATATCGAGTATTTTAAACAACAGCTACGGGTGTGTAAACGGACTACGATCTCGTTTGGTGTTAATTTGAAATTTAAAATAATTTCTACTCACCGAAACTTCGCCACACGGACAAGCAACTATCGTCATGCGGTTTGATTGGATATGTGCTGCCCGTCGCTGCGATAAACACTCAGAGTGTTTCAGACAAGATGCAAATTTGGATGCAAAGTGCATCCGTCTGGCTTTAAGGAGTTAAAACCTTCAAAGGTGTGAGACTGAAGTGTCAAAAACAAATGACCTGCATCGGATCAGTGGCGAAAGTAGTGCGCAATGTGCTGCTGCTGCTGCTGAAAGTCAGAGCGAACGACACGGAATTAAAAAGCACTCCTTCAGGCATTCCAGTCACTTCCAGCACGGTGGCTTAATGAAGACATCTGCATGCGTTTAGTCGTTTCCGTCGTTGTGCCGAGACACAGTTCGCAGAGAGGGATGATGCCTGCACTCAGCGTGGAGGGTAAATAAATCATCACACAGGCGGGATGCGAAAACAAATGTCAAATCTCTCCGGCCCCTCATCCCTCTGACAAATGAATATTCTAACAGGAACGATCTACAGCCATCAGTCAGCCCGCGCCGACTCGTTAATATTCGGTTACGTAACGTCAGCCGTCTTTATTGTGACGTGGCGTCGAGCGCTTGTTGGTGCAAGATTCCTGATTTGGCTCGAGATGTGAAAAAAAAAAAAAGAAAGTTCTAGTTCAATATTAGCACATCGGAGCCGAGCACAGATAATTAGCAGAGTCGACTGTCCTCGGGCAACGTGCGAAAAGTTGTCAGAGCAAATCAACGAAAGCTCCTGAAAACAGCGCTCCCATTGCAGCGCTAGGAAAACCCTCCAACGAGTCCAGACTTCTACAGACACGACGTGGAGTCGCAGCTGGAAAGACGATACGTTGAAGCGAGCAGATGAGTGAAACAGACAAAACTTCAATCTCACGCTTCATTTTTCTGCAACAAGGAGCTCATAATAATGTTCACCTGTGAGTAATGTCTGCAGATGGTTCTCCCAGGATGCATGCAAGAGCAAAAAATCTCCACGAGTTTATGCTGGGGCGGCCTGTATTTCATTTATTTAAGTAAACCCAACAGCTGCATTCATGCTAAACTGGTTACCAGCTTCCCAAGTCGACCAGGACTTCTGAATCTGTTCACCTGAACGTGGCGTAAATTCCACACTGTCTACAACAACAACTGTGTACTCCACTAAATTTGCTGCTTAGATCCAGTAGAATAAGACAGTTTCCTCCCTATTCATATAAAAAATTCAAGCCAGTATATAGGCTTAAAGCAGATCTTATGAGGTCAACAACTACGGGGCTCTAGTGCTTTATCAGTCTCTGTTTCAGGACTGTATCGCGCCACACAAAGGCCTATAGAAAACGAAATTGCTCGGAGTCGACAGGAAAAAATAACACATAAAGGACGACTGGAGTTCCCTCCGCCGAGAATCCATATTTCTCACATTTGTGCTCGTCGAGGAAAGAAAAAGGTTAACTATAAAAACTCCTTCCCTCCCGAGAGACGCTCTCACTATCCAGCTCCGCGGGATCCACGCCAAGAGGATTGATCGGTCAGTAGGAGGCGCTTTCATACGCATTGATCTGTTATCTCGAGCGTAACCTGCTACAGAATTGGCTAGCAGCGTGAGTTAGGGAACCTTCGTTACAGACCTGAAAAACCCAGAGTTAAACCACGAATCCTGCGTCACAGTACAGACCTCTGGATTTAAACGTACAGTAACGGGGGGGGCAGTGGAAACACACTGGGAACACAATGTTAAGTTAAACAACAGGAAACGGCTTCTGCTGGACGTGTAAATACACAAATACAGAGTGCTGTTGATTTCCATGTGGCGAGTCTATCTAATAGTACGTGTTTTAGCTCCGTTTTTGGTCTCAACCAGCTTCTGAAGGTAACATCTACAGAGCAGTTTGTGTAAACTGGGTTGTTTTTTGTTTTACAGCTGCATGTTGTGGCAGCCGTTAGCCGTGTTTCCATATAATGGTCAAACCAAATTGGAACAAACACTTAAAAAGATGCAGAAAATGTATTAAAGGAAATGCTAATCAGGCTTGTTTTACAATAACCAGTTTGGAGCAAGTAAACTAGGCAGCTAAGTTGGAGGTAAACGCTGCATTAGCTGTAATAAACACAGTAAAAGAAACTAAACCAGCTGTTTGCCAACCATCAAAAATCCTTAAAAAGAAGAAAAAACAAGCACATTTTAAAACAATCACTTAACCGAAAGTCGGCAGCTTTATCAATGTGCAGTTGGTTATTTATTAGAACTAATAAGGTACACTGGATGATCTTCTACATGCTGATAAAGCTACTTCTAACCATGGACACGCAGATAAATACCACTAGGCTCTCAGCTACAGACAGCCTGTTGTCATTAACCACCACAGAAGACTTTGTCATGGTGCACGTTGCTAATTAAACTCCCAAAAATGCTCTCTGCTTGCAAACAGGTGTAGTCTGAGCATTAAACTGTAAGAGGCTCCACCTGGTGGAACAACCAGGTACTACAGCTGATCTTCATCTTCTGCCTTAGCAGTTAATGTCGTCTTAAATTATTAATCATTTCGTTAATAAATCCCTAAAACTGCTATTATATAGGGCAGAAAAAATAGCTTTCAATCGGGCAAGGTGCAGCTATTCTTTCAGCTGACATCGGAAACATGATGTAAATTACTATTATTAAAAAAAAAAAGCATTTTCATCCCCAATGATGCACCTTCAGTGAGCATAAACACAGCTAATAGTAAAAGTGAGCCACATAAAGGTGAGAGGAAGTCGTGTAGGATCATCACTACAAGCGATCCTGGTTCCAATTATTTTCACATTGTTGGACACACTGTTAATTAGCGAGTAAATGAGCAGGAAACTTTAAACGTTTCCAAACAGGACTTTGGAAAGTGAGAGGAGCACGGCCCTCCGTTCCTCAGTGGAAACTACCTCCTTGTAGTCGGCCCGGCAGAGAGCGAGCGAGCGTCCACGAGGGCGTATGTGCTGTGTGACAGATCACTGTTACGATTAGATAATGGATTTCTATACGAGCAGCGCCGACAACAACCCAGCGCTCTTTTTTTCTTTTTTTTTTTCTGTGATAAACTGGCTTTTATTAAACATGTGAGAGAAGACGGGGAGGAACCTACCGGTCATACTGTATGTGTGGTGTGTGCGGTTAATGATTTCCCCAGGCCTCCTGCGTGGTGGCGTAGCCCGCCTTGTCTCCGCCCTGGAAGGAATAAAACAGAGGATTGTTAGGGCGGCTGTGAGACAGAGGGTGGAGGAAGGAGGAAGGGAGGGATATAGCGTATAGAAAACAAACAAGGCCATACAGTACAAAGGCCAGCAGCCCCTCCTTCCCCTGAAATCCCCTCTGTCCTCATTCCTCAAGCTCACTCCTCTCTCGCTCCTCTGTCCTCCGTTGACTCCTTTCCCTTCGTCTTTTCCTCCCTTCTCACTTTACTTTTTTTGTTCCCTTTTTACCCCTCCGCTGCTCACGTTTGTCACATTGCGTCCACCTTTTGTCGTTTCTGCTTCTACCTTCTGACTTTAGCTCCCATTTGTTTGTCTTTCTTTTTTTTTTTTAGTTCCTCCCTACGGAGTCTCGGCCTGTTTACCTCGGACATGAAAGCCAGACATTTATGTGTCGCAGTCATGCACTGGTGTCCTCATGCAGCCTCCGGTTCTGATGCAGGTGCAGACTGAAGCGTGCAGCTCAGGTTGCACATGCAAACAGATGAATGCTAAGCTAGCTGTGCTAAATTGCCAAATATCAGTAAAGTTAAAGGCATAGTTTAACATTTTTGGTTGCTTTTCCAATAATAACATGAAAACACCAACATCATTGTTATGTTTTTATGAAGTGGTTAGCTTAGCTTAGCATAGCCTGCGCTCTATAAAGCAATTTAAGTGACCTTAGCTTAAAAACAAGATAAAACTACTGATTTTGACTTGGACACATTATTTTTGATGGGCTGTGCTGACGCGATAGCGCCGTTAGCTGCATCAACTTCACACTGTGTGCATTAATTGATTTAAAACTGAAGAAATTAGCTTGATAACTTCATTTTTCTTCTAGATTTCACGTCTCCCCCCTTTATTTTAACATCCTTTGATTGTAGAGAAAAGGCAAATTCTCTTAACTCAAGGTAGGTTGAACATAATTTCATCAGAAGTCGTCAAAACGATTGATGCAAATGGTTGCGTTTATCTGTTTTGCTGTTGTTGTTGAGTCCAAACACTATTTTTTTTTAGACTGGAAGCATAAGGACAGAGCTTGTCTTCAGTAAATAAAAAACGAAGGAACTATTTTAAAATAGCGGTCGTAGCCAATGCGCCACAATGAGCCAGTGTTTGTGAGGAAATCTGCTTCCTCTCCCTGCAGGCATATAGACGGCATGAAAACCCCCTTTAAAAAAAAAAAAAGGAATCTCATATAAGAACACAGCTGACAAAACGAGGGACACAGCTGCAAATACAAGTCATGAATCGTCCACAAAGTAGAGATGCACAAAGCAAAATATAATTCATCTCACTCATACCCAACAATCAGTCGACAATCAATTCTACGGAAAGCCCGTCTTCAACAAAAAAGACGTTCTAAAGACGCAAACCGAAGCAGCAAACACGTCCGACTTTGCAAAACATTTCGCCGACTGACACGGCGACGTCAAACATCGAGAATATGAGATAGATGATAAAAGTGCGACAAGCCCTCAAATATACGTCAAACAAGTGCGATTGCTTTTATGGCAAAGTTCTTCTGAAATTCAGCAAGACAACTGTTTTAACCTTTTAGCTAACAGACTTAGAAATCATCCATCCATCATCTATACACCGCTTAATCCTCACTAGGGTCATGGAGGGCTGGAGTCTATCCCAGCTGACTCAGGGTGAAGGCAGGTTCACCTGGACAGGTCACCAGTCTATCACAGGGCTACACTTAGAGACAGACAACCAAGCACACTCACATTCACACCTACGGACAATTTACAATCAACAATTAACCTCAACATGTTTTTTTTGGACTGTGTGGGAGGAAGCCGGAGAACCCGTAGAGAACCCACGCTGCACGGGGAAAACATGCAAACTCCACGCAGAAGGATCCCGGTGCCAACAACTTAGAAATCAGGCGTTAACAAATTTGCAAAATAACAACAACAGACGTAAATAAGCAACTAAATTCATGCAGAAAGAGTGAAAGCCGGGAATTAAATTGCGCAACCGAAGTCCTGCTGCACTTTTAAAATCAGAATCAACTTTATAAGTTTGAACACACAAACACGGAATTTGCCTCCGGTGAGTCTTAGCTCTCTGCGTACAGTAATCAGAAGAAAACAAAAAGTACTAAAATAAGAACAAGGTAAAAGTTGAAGAGCAGAGAAATAAACTAGAACAACAAAAACAAGAGCTATCCATGAATAAACAGCAGCGTCTACAGTCTGCATAAACAGGTGTTGTGACGTGTGAAGGTAGGTATACTTTCCTTCCACATCCTGCGCTGCCTTAAACGGCGTCGTAAAAGCTTTTTATTTTACTTTTTTAAAAATGTAATGCAAAAAAAATCTCTGAAAACTTTAAGGTCCATGTTCTGGCTTTTCGTTATGACTTTACTTCTCCTGACGTTGACGGTTTCGCACACCTATCGTTATCAGTATGTTTAGACAGGACGCGTATCAGGGTAAGGATTTGGGTATTTTCACAATTAAATTGAGTTCTTTCCACCATGTAGCCCATAAATGAACTAGAAAGTAAAAACCCTTTTATACAGGGTCTTTAGCTGTAGCGCAGGACGCCCAGTACAGTCAGTAAACGCAGGTTTCAACACCGTTAAGCCGTTTTATATACATTCTTACTGCTTTGTTTTTATATACACATTTGCGCTCTTATTTCCATTTTTCACACAAACGCTCGCCAGGAATTTTAAAACAGCAGCATCTTAATTAACGAGCAGATTTTACAGGCTAAGCCCACTGTTACATTTCACATTATCTGGTCTAATTATTGTAAAGAAAACACCCTCGTCACCTTTCCGAAAACAGCTACAAGACCACAGAGGGTTGGCGGGAGGAGGAAAAATTGAGCAGAGTTCAGCTTTTATGCTAAAGAGAAACGATTCAGTTTAACGATAATCATCTGCTTCTGCACACCTTTGGGCTTCAGCTGCTCCTTAACGCGAAAACAAAAAGCCGATTGTGGCTCCGCAGCACATGTCCGTTACGCTTTATTACCACCGACTACTCGAGTAAACAGCGCACCAGTGACAGAATGTGAACGAGCTTGTGTCTGGATAAAAAAAAAAAAGAGAACAGAGATGAAAGGAAGAGACAGAAAATGTGAAGGAATCCGTGAAAATGAGAAAGAGAAAGGACGGGAAAACACGCCTCCGTCCGAAAGAGCCTTTAGAGGTTAAGGGAAAAAGGAAGCCGTTAAGCTTTTTACAGCCCCTTTGGACGGGAAATGCCAGAGGAAATGCATTTATGTGTGTGTGTTCCTATATGCTGATGGGAGTTTGTTGTCAAATTAGGAAGTGTCACTAGATTTTTCTAAAAACAGGAAATCCTGTCTGCTTATTTACCCGTTAACAGCTCCTTAATTTGACATAAAACCCCCAAAAATCAACCCACATACGAGTTTTTTTTTTTCTTCTGAGCCGCCAAATGTGATCGAAAGTTCTGGGAAAAGTTTGATGAAATAAAAAAAAACGTATTAGCCATAAACGACTTCTCAGTTTGACAAATACCTCCTGGGTCAGGGTCCGTCTAATACGTTTCTCTCTGCAGAGTTTTCCACCGAGGAGAAACTCCATATGCTGCGGAAGATCAATTGCTGTTTCCAAGGTCAAGAACAAACTTTCACAATCAATTTTCTCCAGTGATAATTCAGGAGAAAAAAAAAGTCCACGACGAAACGCAGCGGCTCTCTAATGCAGCCCCGATGACATGTGTGGCTTCGCGTGGAAGGGGGAATTCCTGCCTCGGCCTGGATGCAAAGAATCAATTTCCCCCCCTAGCAGTAGAAAAGCTGCAAGGACGGATGGATAGTTTGAGGTGCAAAGAAGGAGCCTCTAAACATGACTAATTTTGCTAATGGATGAGGGCCGCGGAGGTCATCTGTGGAGTTTACACAAAGGATTTCTGAGGCTCGCAATCAAGACAGTGGATTAACGGCGAGGCGGGGAGATGGATTGTGTCTGTTTGGGGAAAAAAAAAAAAAAAGAGCATTGAAAGAATATACGCCGTGGAGACACCGGATCAACACGCCGAAGACAACATGCTAAGAAGGGAGGTCAAGCGTTTAGCCTCGGCGCTGACAATCTGCGACGGAGCGGCCGAGGATGATAGACGGCAAAAACAGAAGCAAAAAAAAAAGAGTCAAGTGGCCGGGTGTCTGTACAAGAGGACGAGCTTCAAAGCGCTTCATTTTGCTAACTCGGAGCAATGCTATCGCCGCTGCCAGCGAAGCCTTTTCACCATCTTGCCGACATGAATAGCTCCTTTTGTCGCGGAGGAATTCCACTGGCAAGTCTCTAATTAGCTGCAGGGCTCTTCCCCTGCAGGCCTGTGTGGGCAAAGAGAAGACGAGGAGGGAGGCAGCTCGGCGGGAAGGAAAAGGGACGAGGCGACAAACGATGCTCTCCAGACTGGTGATATTAAAAGGAACTTCTGAGTTAGTTTTTTCCAGGCAGGATCGTGACAGGTGGTTAACCAGCGCTGGGTTGTCGGGCACTCAGCACCGTCGCCCAGCTGGTACCGGCTCGGCAGGAGTGGCTGACCTACAAAAACACAACCACCACTCTGGCTGTCAGCGGCTCAGCGTCGGCGAAATGCTAATTCACGGGTAAGAGGATGCTGGTTGATGAAGAGCATCCTGACGTCGGGTTATCTCGAGCTGAAAACCGGAATTATGAACCTGGAGGCTGACGAAGGCGGTGGACGAGCTTTTTAAAAATCTCTAAATTACACCACTCATCTCAGAAAGAAACTGCAAAAACAGAAAAAAACTCAGATTTCCAATTTTCTCACAGCCCTTGAACTGCTCGTGTTTGACGTGTGGCTCTGTTTGGAAAATTAACCAAATCTGAGCTTAAGAAATCCTGATAATTCGCCAAAATCTGTGCATTCTACGCGCCTTGGTTAAAAATTCGCCAAAAATAAACAGTTTGCTCGAATCAGATTCTGCCAAAACCAAAAAATTCTACACTTCTCAATGCAACGGTGAAGCCTTCAG